GGAAACTACGCTGGATACAAAGAGCTCACTAACGCTATTCAGTAGAGCAAATTCTCAGCTACGAACACTATTTTTAAACAGTCACCGCCATTAGCAATGCACTTTCATCAAAGATGAGCAACAGCCTGCACGCTGTGCTCGCAGCACCAGTAGAGGCGCCTACTGTCACTGTCACCACTGCTGAAATGCACCACGCACTGCCTCACTGTGATCACATCCACTCTCCACCTGGAGAACGCTGGTCTCCACAAACATTCAGCAAGTGTTGATGAACGTCAGGCTGCAATTTTTTCCACACGGAGGAATTCAACTCCTCACCTTTGTTTCATACACGCTTCTATCTCAGATGCCATTCTGTCATTCTGCCCTCCTGCTGCCATTTGCCACACAGCACCAAAATGTGACTGGATATTGGCAGGAAGGTTCGACCTCTACTGCCATGCCACCAACATCTGCCTCTGCTGTTGTTGTGGGCCAACATAATAAAACGGGGAGGCATTACTTTCAGAGCAACCCTCGTATATGTGCCTTTCTACATACATAGGTATATGTATTTTTTGTGATGTCTGTATTATACTTGAACAAAGAACTTTGTTTACACACAGAAAAGTGTCTGCTGTTACATTTTGATATCCTTATTGCAGTTACAACGGCCTTTGAAAGCCCGTAAGATATTGCTTCATCCTTCAGTTACAGCCCTAATCTAGCTTTATTGATCAACTTTCCTCATCTTTGAAAAAGTCTTGGTATTTTCACTTCAGTAAAGCAACCAATGAATCGACTGAAGGACATGCAGATATAAGGGTATTAGTAAAAATGAGATTTACAATACTACTCACTGTTGTGTTGTGAAGCCTGCAGCTCTCCTGCCACAAGGCTCCTGTAGAACAGACAAGCTGGTATTGAAGGAACGATGAGCTATGTGGCTATTTTAAGTCCAGGCACTTAGAGTTCAGCTTATTTGTCCCTGGAAACGTGGCTACAGCAGCTCCCTGTCCCAGAGAGCAGATAGAGCCCTCTGTCACACTCAAAGCTGAAACTCCAGTCACAGACAGGCAGCTGTGTTTGCTGAACACTCATTTCTAACTGAATATTTGCTGGGAAAAAAAAAGAGTAGAACTTCCCTTCCCTTCCCTTCCCTTCCCTTCCCTTCCCTTCCCTTCCCTTCCCTTCCCTTCCCTTCCCTTCCCTTCCCTTCCCTTCCCTTCCCTTCCCTTCCCTTCCCTTCCCTTCCCTTCCCTTCCCTTCCCTTCCCTTCCCTTCCCTTCCCTTCCCTAATGAAGGGAAGTAGAGTTTTGCTTCACTTGCATCCTTTTGCATATTGATGTTTCTGTCATTAATTACACTTTTTTAAAATGAAAATTCCTAGGGGCCCCTTAAATGGCCTTCATTATTTTGTGTCCTTTGAAGACACCAGCAAAGCAAATTGTCTTTTCAATTGCAGGAAGGTATTATTTGAAACTGTGTAGGTCACTACTTCCCAAGTTTGCTCCATTGCTCCATGCTTCAGAAAAGAACTACAGGAGCTAAGTGAGAAAGAGCAAGCCATCACACAGCTTTAAGAGCTGACTGGCAGTAAGATGGTGCTTGGAAAAACATTAAATGATGTGATTATTTCAGGTCCTCTCTGCAACGTAAGCTCCTCCCTTCTGTGGGTTTGATGGATTCTGAAGTGTTGGCAGATGAACGCTGTAATAAAAGGCATTCCTGGCCCTGGCTGTCTGCCCTGCTCCAAATGTCTGACCCTGAGCAGCCAGAAAAAGGACAAGTTCCTCAGCTGTTTCTGAGAGGAAAGGCCATGGGGAAACTTCCCCTCCAGGCCTGTTGTGAAGGACGTGAGAGCACAGCATGGGGTGGGAACTCTTCAAGTGCTGCACGAGGCTCGTGCTGTCAGCAGCTGCCACTCCAGGGCCACCCCAGTCCCGGCTGTCCCACCGAGTTCAATTGTTTGGGTGCTAATTGCAAAGTGCTTGGATGTGCCACTGGTTGTTCTGAAAACTGTGGCTATAGAAAACAATGCTTTTCTGGTCTTCTAAAATTAATGACACTGTGACATGATGGAAGCACGTTCTCTACACACAAGAAGGCTCATTTTCCCCTCGATTTTCCAAGGTGAATAGATTGCCTTTTAATGAACTGCAAGAAAAAAAGTAATAGCACCAATAATTGCATTTTGCTTATTTTGTAGACAAAAAAACAGTATGAAGATGCCTAATTGTTATCAAATGTTTTCAATTTACTCTTGGCACACTTATTTCCACGCTTGAGCTAGAAACTGAATGGATGCCAAACCAAGAGAACGGGTGCCTGGAAACCAAGCTGTCAAGAATTGAAATAACGTTTCAGAAAGCCGTACTTTTATTTGGAGACATCAGCAAGGTTCTGTTGCATTGCTCTGGTCAGCGGCAAAGAGCATAAAGCCAAAGGCATTTGATCGGTCTGTGTGCAGCACTTAGGTGCAACAAGACAGTGTATTTAAACAAATGTTTTGATTAATAATCCACTGCATTCGCTTTTGATACTTCATAATTATTTTCATTAAAGTGGCAATATGTTTGTAGTAAGCAGTACTCTGCCAAGCTTATCCTTAATGTGTGTTGGACACTGAACTGATACACGTCTGGCATTTTTACTGTTATGGTTTTGCCTCTTTTGTTTTTTACGGTCTTGAAAATGATCACAGATGTCCCTGAGTGCACACGGAATGACAGAGAGAAGCACGTCAATCTAGTTTCCACAATCCATTTAAAGTCTTCTGGAAAAACTCAGCTCCTATTGTCTGTGCACTGTGGGTTCCGTATCCCGCTGCAGACACGCAGATGAGTGATTCCCACAGAGGCTCTCGAGCTCATAAATCGCAGAGCAGCCACTGCAGGGTGAGGGCTGCCACACAGCCACTGCTGTACCACTCTGTTACAGTCTGCTTTAGGGCAACTTTTTTTACAGAATCATAGGGGTTGGGATGGAGTTCTGCAGATCTTCTAGTCCAGCTCCTGCTACAGCAGGCTGCCTACAGCAGGTTACGCAGAAAAGCAGTTGGGCGGGTTTTGAGTATCTCCAGAAGAGGAGCGTCCTCAACCTCTCCAGGCAGCTCCCAGCATCCTGTCCTCCACACAGTAAAGTTCTTCCTCATGTTTGTATGGAACTTCCTACATTCCAGTTTGTGTCCACCAAAAAGAGTCTGGCCCATCCACTTGCTCCCACCCTTTAGATATCTATAAGCAGCGATGAAATCACCAGCCTTCTCTTCTCTGGGCTGAACAGCCCCAGGTCTCTCAGCCTTTCTTCACACAGGCGGTGCTCCAGGCCCCCAGCCATCTTTGCAGCCCTGTGCTGGACTCTCTCTAGCAGTTCCCTGTCTTTAATCTGAGGAGCCCAGAACTGGACAGTGCTTGATGTTTTACTATAAACATATTTATTCTGCTGTTTCTTTTTTACATTGGAATGAATCTGTGATTCTAAATAGGTACTTCTGCAAGATGCGCTCTTTCATTGCTTTGTACACATTTTGCCTTCCCACTGTTATCAAAGTGTAGTAAAATATTGCATGCAGTACTGAAGGTAGGCCTGCCTTTTTATTGTAACACTGAAGACAATCTATTCCCAAATGGCCTGTATTTACAAAGAAAGACACACGGATATTTGATTTCAATATTTTGGGATGGATGCTCACCGTGAGAGCAGCACAACAATTTAATGCATTCTGTCACTCTGCAAGGGCTGAAGAAGGGCTGAGGACAACACTTATTTCACATGTGCCACACTGCAGGAGGATCGGGAGAACTTAAACACAGAGCTGGCACTGGAATTTCCAGTGCCAAACGGATAGGAGATAGCAGCAGAAAGCCTCCAAACATTAGCCGCACTGCACTCCAACAAGCAACAATTACACACAATTGGGTACTATGTCACCTCGCTCCGCCATGGAAATTTCACAAGAACGAACCAATAAAAACTTGGCGTTGTGTTTACAAGCAGAACGTGCTACCCGGGAAAGCAAAGGGAACATCCTCGTGCTGCTGGCCGCGCTGCCTCTGAGCCTCAGGCGTGGGGCCGGGCTTCGCAGGGACGCTCCGGGGGCCGTGCCAGTTTCCTCTGGGCGAAAGCACGAGGGATCCTCCTGCTGAAGATCGAAGCCCTTGGAAGCGCTGTTCTTTTGTTTCTCAACGTTCCCAAAGCTGAGAGCTTGAGCGTACAGAGGTATCTCACCCAAAGCACAAGCGTACCGAATGGGCTTGACGTAGTGCTGACGTGCTGCTGATAGCAGCAGGGACTCAGGGCTTTACAGCCTGCAGAGTTGCCACGAGGCGCATAAACTCCTCATCTGCAGAGGTAGCAGAAGGCAGGGGCTGTTCGTCCTGCCTCGGGCAGGCGATACATTCCTGAGGGCCACGTCTGGATGTCAGCAGTGAGGTTATCGTACAGCCCGGCAGCAGCAGCTCAAAAGGAAACAAGGCGCGAAGCAGGAAAGAACAGCACAATCAATCCCAAAGCCCAACTCCGGGCTTTATTCATCTTCTTACGCAGCGAACGCAAAACTCAACAAAGCGCTCCGCTCGGCAGCGGCCCGACAGACAAAGCCCGCAGCGGGAGCTGCCCTGCTCTTCCCACCGCGCCGGGAAGGAACGTTCCCAAGGAAACTCGCCGCCACGCGCGGCCAGTTCACGCGTAGCGCTCCTTCGCCCGACCGCGCCGGCTCCGAGGAGCGCCTCCCCGTGACGCAACCCCACGCGCCGGCCACCACCTCACCACCCCCGCACCACAGCCGCCGGCCCGGGCTTCGCGTTGGGGTTATGGCTGGAGCCGGGCCCCGCCCCACCGAGCGCCGCCCACCCCCGAGCTGCAGCGCCCGCAGCCCCCGCTCCCCAACTACGCACTCGGCCGAGCTCGCCGCCCCCAATCCCCTCAGAGGCCGCCCCTTCCCCGCCACGCCATTGGCCGATCGCGCCGTCTCTCCGGCGCCGCCTCCGCCGATTGGGCGAGGAGAGGGCGCCCCCTCGTCCCTCCCGGTTCTGTCGGTTGAGGCGAGCCGAGAGTAAATAGAAGCAGGAGCGCAAAATGGCGGAGCTGCCGAGCTCTGGTCGTGGCGCGGCGTCGCCGGAGAGAGAGTCGTTCTGCGTCAGGCCGGGCCCGGACGCCAAGGCCTCCCGCGGGTCGCAGCCAGCCTCCAAGAAGCTGAAGGGAGCCGACGAGAGGGGCCCAAAGGGCAGCAAGCGCGTCAACGGCGAAGGGGGCGGCGGCGGGAGCGGGAGCGGCAAGCAGCAGCAGCAGCAGCAGCCGCTGCCGGCGGCGGTGCCGAGCTACAGCAACCCCGCGGCGTGGGGCTTCGCCGCGCTGCCGCCAGGGCCCTCTGTCAGCACGGCCGGCTTCGCTTTCCCCTCGCCGCTGCCCCGGAAGCTGCTGCCGCCCGCCCTGCTGCTGCCGTCCGCCGCCTCTCCCTCCCCGTCCTGCCCGCAGCACCGCCACCATCGGCACCGCCCGGCTCCGGCCGGAGAGGCCGCCAAGCCCAAGAGGCCGAAGGAGAAGCGAGACAAGGAGAGGAGGAAGCACGGAGCGCTGCCAGCGCTCGGAGATGGCGGCGGGGCCCTGAGCGCGGCGGGCCGGGAAGAGAACGGCGAGGTGAAGCTGCTGCTGCAGAAAGGTGGGCGCCGCACCGGGAGCGGTGGCGGGGCGGGGCGCCGGGGGCAGCGCCGTGCGGGGCGGGAAGCCGTGTGGAGCGGGGCACAGCGGGACGGCCGCGCCGAGCAGGGGAGGGGAGGCGCGCGTCGGCTCCGCGGGAGCGCCGTAACGTAACGTAACGAGCGGTAAGGGCGCGGGAAGGCGGTGGCGGCCCGACCGCCTTCAACGCTGTCAAAAAAGGGGGTGTGGAATTAGCTATGGCGTCAGGCAGAAGCTGCCAGAGGCCTGAGGTTTTCTTACCTATTAGGGAAGTCAGGGTGTCTGGTGATTGCCTGGAGATCTGCGAGCAGAACTGAGTTTCTGCCGTTGCTACGGAGAAGACCGTATGTTTACGCAACGCATATTTGTGAAGAATTAAAAGCCATCTCATTGATTGGGCCGTTAATTTGACGGGCGAAGTCGTGCCCTTTGCGTTGAGGCGTGCTGACCTGCGCGGCTCCTGCAGCTGCTCCCGGGGCTCCTGGCTGGAAGCTGCTGAGCGATGCTGCGGAGCGCTGCCTTGGCTCCTTCCTGGGAAGGACTAAAATTGCCGTTGCCGCTGGATAAGGCGTTAGGCCGAACTTGGTGCTGGCAGAGACCGACGGTGGGCGCTTAGAAAGTGCGAGGCAGTGCACGAATCTGTTTTTTATTTCCAATATATCCTCTCCTGGTCTTCGGTGACCTTAAAGCAGATGTTGGTGCGATTGCATTTATGTTAAAAAAGAAAGAGCTTGAAACGTTTGCTCTGATGAAGTTTCTTTCAAAGGAAAGATAAATTCTAGCATTTACGTAGGCCGAGCTTGCTTTAGTTTTGGCTTCTACATTGTGCTTCCAAAGTGAAGATGAATTCTCAGTGTGCCACTTTTTGTCCAGCTGCATTTTCTGCTAGTTCCCACTAGTATCTGAGTCTCTGGTTCAGTTTTAGATATTCAGGTTACATTTGAGATTTGGGTTTTTTTCTTTTTTTGAATTGTGTGTGTTCCTTTGGTTCAGCACATTGTATGCATCTTCCTATTGGGGTCTTGATCACTGTGCAAGCAGGCTCAAAGTGCATCGCTGTAATGCTTTCAAATATTTCAGTTCTGATGAGCTTCCTTTTCTGCATTCTTGTTTGAAAGATGAATTGTGAAATCTTTAGAAATGATTTTCATTACAAACTTAGTTTTGGTGAAACCTTTTTGTTGTGCTCAGTAGCTGCTGAGAAACTCCCACTGTATCTTCCTTGCCAAAATGTGGAAGTAATAACCATATTCACTTGGATTGCCATGATATCCTACGCCACTGTGCTAATAAATCTGTAAGAACAGTATTACAGTAATGGGATGAAATATTCTTGCAAGTTGGTGAGAGAAATGATGACAGTGATGGTGTCAATGGAGTCCTTATTTACCCTGGTAAAAGCCTGACAGAGAACATCCTGTAGCAGGGAAGGATGCTTTTTGTGACGAGCACAAAGTTTTAACTGCTGTTTGCTCAGAACAGGTGTTTTTAGCTTTAATTTGTTCTTGAAAGCTTGAATACAGGCAACAAACAACATTTTCCAAGGCAAACGATCCCTTTATGGTATCAGGGTCTCAAGATTTGTTTAGAGGAAGCAGTTTCTGTAACTATAACTTGGTTACAGTTTTGTGCAGGGTTGGAAAACTTTGTGTTCACTGAACTGTGTATTTTTTTTTTTTTTTTCCAGAATTGTGGGGTGCACTGCATTCTCTGCCATGAGCATCCTGCCTTTTAGAAGTGGCTCCATATTGGACTGTAGATTAAAGATCAGGTTTGTGCTGTTGATAGTGTGAATAATTTACTTGGAAGGAGGAAGGCAATTACGATGCAGGGACTAAAAGAATGACCCAGGGGAATGAGGGAGGGCATTCAGAATGCTCACTGCAGAGGAAGATGAAGAGTGGTATGGTAAGGCAGGGGGAAGGTGGTGTGTTCTAGAAGAGGATACCAGAGGATTTCAGGGTGCAGGGTATTTTGGAGTGAGTGAATTTAAGATCCTTCCATGAAGGAGGGAAGAATTAGCATTCAAAAGTTGTTCAAGAGGGAGGTGATCTTGGTATGGGGTGAAAAGCTCATAGTTAGATGCTGTGGGAAAGCAAGGAAAGAGGAAGAGGAAGATGGGAGAGAGAAGTGTAGGCAGCCTGCGGGTGTGATGATGGTCAGCTTAAAGGATTTCATATAATTAAAAAACAAAACACCCACAAAACCAAAAAATCTGAGAGGCATGCTTGCACAAATTATATAGGGAGAAGGTAGGGATTAAATGTGTCCCTCCTAAATGAATGAGTTTGTAAAAGCTGTCATATGTACAGCTGGTAATACTTTCTGACAATCAGCCTAATGCAGGCAAATGCAGTCTGCTTTTTCTGCAGTCTGTGGTTAGGCAGCCTTCTTTCTTGCAGTGCTGTGGAAAATGAGCAGCAACATGGGATTGGCAGTACTGTTCTTAGCATTCACAACTGATAGATATGTCAGTTTCTTGCCTGCCAGAAGGAAAATGGTGCAGCTTAGGAGGCTGTGATCTAAAAGAAATGACAGTGATTGAAAAATAAGCAGGTGGGACAGGTGAGACTTCCATGGTTGTTACAAGGTTCTGAAGGTGCAAAAACTCCACTGTCTCCTTTGCAACTGAAGTGCATGTGAATTGCATGTAGGTACAGGAGGTGCAGTGAGCTTGGTGCTGAGGAGGCTGCTGGGAGTTGGGCTTCTGATCTGTGTTGAGCTGTGTGCGTACCCTTCTGTGTGGAGCAGTTACTGAGCTGGGAGAAAAAGCTGGTAAAGGAGGAAGGCCTGCGTGAGCTTAGAGCAGGGAAAATGAGGAGTGAAGTTAGGGGGAGGAATGGCCAGATGTGTGCCACGAGGCTGCTGGGACTGTGGGGCAACAGGAGGCATCACGGTGCACAGTGATGGGAAGTGAAGGAACATGAGGGCTGGATTTGGAAAATGGTCATCACAGGGCTTGCAAATGGAGTGGTACCCATAGCATTCTCCTAACTGTAGTGCTTATAGCATGGTGTATTGACACAGAGGAGGAAATGGTGAGGAGTTTGCACCTACCATCTTCTTTTGCACCTACTATCTCTAGAAGAGCTGAATATGAGAGCTGATGTCCTTGGCCTGCAGTGCGGTTCTGAGCCTGGCTGTGGGGTGCCCAAGGTGTTGAGCTTGGTTACGGCACAGATGGTGATGACTTTGAGAGGTGTTTTCGTATCTCCTTCCTTGAACAAATGTTCACTCTATGATTTTTCTGATCTTTTCCTTCACTGGAAGGACCTTGAACTTGCAGAGTCATAGCCAGGCCTGCCAGCCTGTGGCTGGAGGAGGTGAATGGAGCAGATTGAGTCTCGGTGTGATAATCTGGCATGCAGAGAACTGGGAAGAGCACTTTGCCACCTGTGTAACTTATCCTGCAAATAAGGGATCGAGTCTGTTTAAAATAAGCTTAAATTTTACTTGACAAGTCTATTTTGGGTAGTGGAATTAAAAGTTATGTAACTAGTTTTGTTTCAAAAACATGGTGTGAATCTGATGTCTGTGTCTGCATTACCAGTTTATGACTCTACCAGTTCAGTTAGTTATTTAACTGATAGCCTGCTGGAGCAGTTCATAGTTGAAATAGTTTTGTTAGCAGTGCAAAGCTCAGATGAGCCACTCCCCACTTCATCAGCCTAGGGCGGCTTGTTTTTGTGTTTTGTTTTGTTCCAGGCTTACTGCAGGGCCCGAGCCAAATTCATCAAACATCTTCTCTGTTTCCTTGCCATTTCTGCATACAGCTTCCCTCTCTCTCCTTCCCTCCTTCAGTTTTTTTTGTTTTTTTTTTCAATGATGTCTTTGCTGATAAGGCTGCCTCAGTATGCAAGCAATTACAAAACGAGATTGGTATTTTTAACTTGCTGATGGGGTTTTCCCATGTGAGCAAGAAAGCAAAGCTGAGTATGGTTCTGTAGCTCTTAGGTTTTTTTTTTCAGCCTCCTGCTGCCTTTGATACATAGATTAAATAGTATTTTAGAACAGTTGCCAGCGACTCTTCGGATACCTTTGTGGCTTTGACTTGCATGGCACTTCTGGTTTGTAAACCTGTAAAACACAGCACTTTTCAGACTTTCTGAGTTCTGCTTGCATCTGGCAGAGGCTCATTTCATGGTCTGAATTGGGTTGGAGAAAGCTTTGGACATAATTCTGTTTCCCTGCTTTAGATCTGGGGCCACCATCTGATGAAATAGGTTGTCTTTTTCCTTCTGCTAAACGTTACCTTTTTCTGATCTCTTCTCCTTCCTTTTCCCTGTTTTTTGGTACTGTCTTGTTTAACTCAAACACCATCTTTGCCCCCAGCTGCTCTCGGTTCAGCAGTCACATCCACACTTGTGAGGCCTCTCCTCTGAATTCTTTGTTCCTGTCTGGAAGCACCACGTCCTTTGGTTGTAGAATCGCAGGTCGTTTTTCTCACTTGAGAGAAGTGCACTGAGTGGTCAGACCTGAAACCTCTTTGCAGGCTGTTTTTGCAGCTGCCACGTTGTCTGCTGCTGATTTCTGATGCAATTCTCCAGTGCTCGTGCTTCACATTGGTTCGTGTGCCGCTGCATGTGGAAGGTCTCCTTTCAAACTGCAAAGATCAGAGGAATGGCAGAGATGAAGTTGAAAGTAATTGCAGGTTTTCTGTTTCTGAAAAAGATCTTCCTTCCCTCCCGTTTGTGGAGGGGTTGGGGGAATGCACTCAGCTGGCAAGGGGATTTCTTTAGTCATATTGTGCATTTTAAACTTGAATTACTGAATGGGTTGTCTATCAAATATGCCTTTTTTTTTTTTTTAATAAAAAACTGCTGGGACTTCTTTTGTCTCGCAAATATTTTAAGGGTTTCTTTTTGTACGACAAGTCAGGAGTGTGCTCAACAACAGTACAGGGGTTGTCTGACAGGATACAAATGCAGGTGACAGAACCGTTAACGTGGTTACATTAAATGCACATAACATGTCTGTGTACCACACTGAGGTGAGTTTTTGGGGTTTTATTTCATGGATATTTGCATTGAGAGTAGGAGAAACCAATGGAAAGATGACCGCAGGGCCGCCCTCCTCATCCCCTTTACCTTCGGTTCTGGTACTGCTGATGTTCACCACACTGATGGTGTCCATTAGAAGTAGTTTGTAAATATGTTGCCTGATGTGCAGTGACAGCCCTTAAATCAAAGGGAGGAGGGAGAGGCAGGATACTTTGAACATAATCTCTGGCTGACTACTAATGTGGGTTACCATCTGGAAAGCTGATGCGAAGCAGCTGCAGCTTTTGGCTCCTGACAAGGTTCTGAAGCTTGTCTCATAACGCGCAGACGTCCAAGCTGCAGTGTAGGCCTGAAGGTGCAAACTTCACAACGTGACAGCTGCTACTTTGTGCATAATCCAGTGCAGAGCATTTTTTACTTATTCAGTATGTTCTTGATTTTCCTTTTTCCTCTTGAAAGCTTGCAGTAAAGAACTGATCACATCTCTGAAATCTCAGTGGTACGATCTGTCAACTTGTGTCAGTATTTGTTGTTCATGAAGGCATTACAATCACTGTGAGAAGATATCTAGTTAGGAAGTGGAAAACTCCTTTTACAGCCTGAATTAATTCAGTTAGCTGTGTGCATTCATTTAGAATAGGAGGTGCAAGATGTCTTCACAGTGGATTTTCTTCTGCCTGTATGTAGCACAAGGCACACTGCTGTTGCTGTATTTTCATAGAAAATCATAGAATCACCAAGGTTGGAAAAGATCTAAAAGATCATCCAGTCCAACCGTTCACCCATTCCCAATAGCTCCCACTAAACCATGTCCCTCAACACAACATCCAGTCTTTCCTTGAACACCCCCAGGCTCGGTGACTCCACCACCTCCCTGGGCAGTCCATTCCAGTGCCTGACCACCCTTTCTGAAAAGTAATACTTCCTCATGTCCAGCCTGAATCTCCCCTGCCGTAGCTTGAAGCCATTCCCCCTGGTCCTATCACTAATGACACGAGAGAAGAGGCCGACCCCCAGCTCACTGCAACCTCCCTTCAGGAAGTTATAGAGAGCAATGAGGTCTCCCCTGAGCCTCCTCTTCTCCAGGCTGAACATTCCCAGCTCCTTCAGCCTCTCCTCATATGGCCTGTGTTCCAGACCCCTCGCCAGCTTTGTTGCCCTCCTTTGAACACGTTCCAGGGCCTCAATATCTTTCTTGCAGTGAGGAGCCCAAAACTGGAGGTCATGGATGTGCTGTTTCTATACCACAACCATTCTGTGGTTGTTAGAAGTGGCAAAAGTTGCTGCTATGGCATAATGTGAGCAGGATCACCTGCTCCTTGAGGCAGTCCCTGAAGCAGCAGTGAGCTGTAAGTCAGGCTTTTGTGGACTGCTGGCTTCCTTGAGTGCCGTATGTCACAAGAAGGTTATTGTAGCAGAAGTAGGCATTGGGCTGATGGGAAATCGCTGTCGGCTGTTCCCTGTGTCAGGACCCAGTGGTGAGCAGCATGAGGCATTGATCATCCAGCTGGGCTCTCACCGTGTGCATTGTGTGGGTTTCTGGTTGATGTTAAGGTCAAGGACTGTGCTATGAGTGATGTGCTGATAAAGCTGGAGGTGTTAGCTCAGATGTCCAGCAGAAGGACTGGTATTTTCCCAGAGGCTCGTTTCGTTGCTTTTTCTTTTTTAAATTGGAATCATATATGGTTTATCTTTTTCCTGTCACTTCCAAGGTGATGGATGGCATTGTGATTGTCATCTTCCCCTCAAAGCCCTGCAATAGTAACATTTAAGATTGGTATATTTTCCATTTTCTGAGCAGACAGAGCAGACTTGGGAGGACATTTAAAAAAATTTTAAAATTATTTTGATCCATGGAACAAAAAAAAAAATAAATCCTCATATTCAGTACTTGAATAATCTTTTGGTTATCCCTTACCAGAGCAACTTTGTTAAAAGAGAGAAAGAGCACATAAATCAGCTTAAATAAAACTGAGCTTTGTATTGTGAAAATGCCTGCTGGAATGGGAAAGCAGTGATTAATATGTAGATATGCTCAGGTGGCTTCACTTAAAGGTCATCTACAGTTTTGATGATGTTTTGGCAAGGGGGTCATAAACCATTCTGTGAACCTATACTGTATCAAAGGACTTAGTTTCATCTTTTATTTAGACTTGAGCATCTTTTTGTTCATTAGTTTTTTAAAATACTTTTTAATCAGCATTTAAGAAAGTGCTTTCTCCCCCCCCCTTCCACCCCCAAAACAGCAACCCTGTGGCAGATAGTTCCACAGCTGTTTGGTGACTTGTTCTGGTGACTAACTTGTGCCTTTGTGTACTTTCTTCTATTTAATTTTGTTATCTTAACTGAAAAAAGTGAATGTAGTGGGATGGTTTTTGGAGTAGGAGTGTTGAATCCAGCTTCCAGTCACTGGTACCTCTGTGTCTGCTGTTTTTTTCTCTTGTAGTGCAAGACCTTTCTGTTAAAACTGGACTTCTCTCTGTGAGTCGAATGATCCCGTCACCTTCCTTTGGACTCAGATGATTGATCTCCTCATTAGTATATGAAAGTTCTTAATTCATTGATTGCTTTTCTGAGTGTTCAGTACTCCATCATAGTGAAGGCAAACCATTCTCCTGGCAGTGCTGTGACATACCAAGGTAGTAGCTGTTGGTACTTGATGTTCTCTTGACCCAAGTTGCTGCTGTTTGTATTACATTCTCACCTGAAGGACTGTCTTATCCTGTTAACTGCTGCAGCTCCAGCCTTTTCTTTCTTCCCCTTACATCTGTATTAGAAGTGGTATTGGTGGAAGATCACTTCCATCTTATGGACACAGCAGGGTTACTCCAGTCACCTCTACCTTTTTGCGGTTGGGAGGTGGAGCTGCTCTACACTTGAAGCAGGGACCAAGCAAGGTTTGGTATCAGTAGCTGCTGTTCAGAGATCTAGCAGCTATATGAGAAGTTCCAAGTGCTGTTAACTTGCTCAGTGAAACAAGTTTTGTCCTATTAGTCATTAATTGTACAACACCTAGGTTGTTAATTGCCTAATAGTGGGTGCATTTGTCTTAAAATGAGCTTTTCTTTTCGTGTTGTGAAGAGGTTTCTTGGTTGAGGAAGTGAGATTTGGATTATGTGGTGTACAGCTGCAGGGGATTGATCCTTTCTAGTGGAGAAGCCACTCAAAGGGATGTTGTTCTGGGGCTTTTTGGAAACTCGTAGGAAGCTCCAGCCTGGGCTGAACTGTAGCAGATGTTCTGGGCAGCACCGTATGTTGGCAGGAGTTTGTGTGGAGACTGTTTGGAGAGCTGAGCTTGTCTGTCCTGGTTAGATGCCAGGTGTGTATCTTAACCATGTGTATGGACTGTACGCTCTGTTGGGTGCTTTACAAGTTACTGACTGCAGTTTCCTTTGTGGTAAACTGAATCTTATGGGAATTTGGTTGCGTTTTATCTCTGTGTCCCATTGGAAGCTGTGAAATGGGCCATCTGTCACTGCAGAACTTGAGAGCTCTGTGTGAGTTCTGCCGGCCAGACTAGAAAACATTTATTTTCCTCTGAAGATGTTTGATCTGAAAATTCAGCTCAGAGGGAGGCAACCTGACAATTTATACTTGTCGGCTGGGACTCCCAATTGTTTTTACTCTCTTCAGTCTGTGCCCTGGTCCTGTGGTAGCTTGGTCCTGTCATTCTGCAGTGGAATTAGTTGTTCCAAACCTTCCTTGGATGCATCTACAGTCCCTTCAGGTACTGTGTGCTTGTGGCTGTTGCTGGAGGAGGTCACAGGACACTTCCATTGTTTCTTTTGGCTGGAACTTGCTGCCATCATCCCTGCTAATAGCTTTCTAGATCTGAAAATAAAGTGGAGGTTCTTATAGACTTCTGGTTCATTCTCTGTTCTTACACACTGCTTCTATCAGAACTGCAGGATTCCTCAGCCTGGGATGCTTGTCTCATGCCTACAATAAAGGATTCTTTCAGTCTGTCTTTCATCCTCTTTCAACCAGGCTCAGCATTTGTATGTGCTCTTCAATCTCTCTTTGATTTCTAAGTGATAGAAGTCAAGTGTACCTCTTAACAGTATGCAAATGCTGGGAGAAAATCTCAATTTTTTTCCATGATAATGGTAATCCTGGCAGAGCTGAGCACTGATGCACGCTTCAAATCAAGCCTGCTGTTACTGCCTCCTTGCAGAGTGAATGTCTGTGTATAATCAATATTAAGATGTTATAATTACATATTAAGATGTTATAATTACAAAATAAACAAGAGAGTTTAGCAAAGCAGATAATGATAACAAAAAGAGAACAGATAGAAAGCTTACCTCTATCCTGGGCTTACTTACAAAACTCCAGAAGAGATCCTTCCCCACTGGTGGCAGCTCTTAATTAGGTCTAGGTGAATTGCCTTCAGCTGTGCTCTTCTGGCTGACTCACTGCTCGCCTCAGGTGATCAGTCAGAGGTTCAGGCCATGACTCAGCAGTTTCCATACAGTCTGCTTTCAGAGTGGTCAAATCTGTTGTATAATTTATTGCTTACTTCATACTTCTGTGTTGCTGGGATCTACAATTTGGGGGTTTGTCTGTGTGAGGGGAGCCGATTGGAGAGGTAGATTAACAGCTGGTTCATCTGCTGTTAGGAAATACAGATTTGTGCTGCTGAGAAAAATGTCTGGGTGCTGTGGTCTGCTGCACAGATCTGTCTGATCTGGAATCCTCTGTCACAGAATCATTGGAGGCCTGGTCTTGGGCATGGTTGTTTCATTTGCTTGGAACTAAGACTTCTGACAGTTTGAAGCACGGCTACCTTATTCCTTGTTTTTTTGTTTTTTCTTTTTGGTGCCATCAGAGGTTTTTTTCTCTCTCCACTGCTTGCACTGATCTGTGCATAGGCAGCAGACATGTGCCACTTGCCATCTCATCATTTTTTTTTATTTTCTTTTGGTTTGACTTTACCCAAAATGCATTCTTCCTGGCTGCTGGGCACGTGAGTTCCATGGCTTTGTTAGAAAACCTTAGAACGAAAGGTAGGAATGCTGCACAGTTGTTACAGCATTTGTTTATGTAGATGACTGTCAGACCCTTGCAATTTTTAACTATTGACATGCTTCAGAAATAGTTTGGTCATATATTGCATTACAGAACTGAAGGCTTTTGTTTGGTTTCGATACATATTTCCAGTTTGTTAGTATTGAAGATACCTGTGTTTATTTTCTATGAATGCGGGGGGTAAAGTAAATAGGTTTCTCCTTATGTCCATGTGGGGTTAAGAATGCAAGCACCATAAATGGCACATCAGTGTTGCCTCTCAGCTGTGTTACTGACAAAGTGTTCTGAGACACGGCATCGTGTAGAAGCCTGAAAAAAGTGGGGTTTTCTTTTTCCCTGAGGAGGTTAAAAAGCCCAGTAAATCCATAGAGGAGGTACCTGGATTCTGTCTGAAAAATGAGACCTGCAGTGTTGGTTGTGAGGCTTAAATGCTTCATCTCAAAGGTGATTCTAAAGTCTGCTTGAAAAGATAAGTCCTAGAAATTTAATGACAAAGACATGACAATGTGGAGTGACTGGCAATAAAGTAAATGAATAGTAACTGCTTGAATTAGATCTTCTATGAAAATACAGATTTTTCCAACAAATAGTAAACTGGCATTCCTTTCCATCTCACATTGATTCTCTTAGTCACACCTTACTGCTGTTAGCACAGCCTGGATGAACCTGACAAAGATTTGTTTTGTCAGTTGAAAACCTTTCATGTTTTGAGCCATCTGTGGAAGCCTTAAGTCAGGTGAGATTTCTAGTGCAGATGCACATTCAGGAAAATAGAAACCCCTCAGTTCTCCTGTTCCTAATCGAATGTGTGGAACTTGAGTTTCTAGAAATAAGAGCTGCATCCAGATGAAAAATAAGGACAGAGGTTTGTATGAGTAAATAAAAATGGTTGTTAACTGTGTAGAGCTAACAGGCTGAGTTGTTGGATACAGTTCTGGTGTAATACAAATAAAACTGGTCTAGGTTCTATAAGCTTATGTTGAATTATGCAACAGATAAATATTAGCTTTCCATATTGTAAGTCCTGGGTTTTCCTTGTAACACCTTTTATCCTCTTAATAGGGCTTGCATAATACTAATGCAAAATGTGCACGCGACAAAGCTTGCTGTTCCCACTTAATCATAAAATATTTCCATTTCAGCTCAAATCAAAGAGAAGATGAAAGAAAGGGAAAAGAAGCAAAAAGAGAAGAAGAAGCACAAAATAATGAATGAAATAAAGAAAGAAAATGGAGAAATCAAGTTACTGCAGAAAGGTAGGTTAAACTGCATAGTGTTTTTCTTAGCGGTATTTAAAACCTTTGTAATTGGATTGAGTGCTGAATCTTAATACTGATTTTTTTATTTTAACTTGAATACCATTTTCTCAGCATAGCTGCTATAATGCTTGTAATTTAAAACTTTAATTATAAACTTGTCAACTGTGTTAGGTACTGCGATTAAAAATAGAACTCTTACCACAGCGCTTCTTGCGCAGTGTTCCTGAAAGGCACCTGAAGGGCAGTATGGTTCTTGGTCTCAGCCACCACGGGTTCATGAATGAAAGGTCCTGCTTAACTAACTTAATTTCCTTTCATGACAAAGTCACCCATTTAGTTGGCCAGGAGGGGCCAGCTGATATTATCTTTTTAGATTTCAGTAAAGCTTTTATACTGTTTCTCATACTGTCCTTCTGGACCCAGTACCCCCTCTGCAGCTAGATAAAAACGTAACGTGAGCAACTGGCTGACAGATAGTGTCAAAGGGTTATAATAAATGGGGTTACATCAAACTGCTGGCCAGGCACTAGTGGGGTACCCCAGGGCACTGTTGTAGGGCCAGTACACTTTAATGCTTTCAATAAATGACTTGGATGTAGAACTGTAGGGTGTTTTGAGCAGGTTTCCTGACAATATTAAATTGGGAGTAGCTGTTGATTCCGTCAAGGGTGGAGAGCCCTTGCAGGGAGAAATCCTGCTTCTCTCAGTCTCTCTTTCTGTGAGTGATGCTGTGCTCCCACAGTCATTTTCCTGGCCCATTGCTGGACTTACTCCAGTATGCCCATGTCTGTCTTGGGCTGCTGACCCCGAGTTCTGTGTAACACTCCAGATGTGTTACACCAGTGCTTAGTCAAGTGGAAGAAAAATTGTCACCATCAGCCTGCTGGCAGAGCTCTTCTTAATTCTGTCCAGGAGGCTGTTAATGATGGCTTATGGTCAGTTCGTCATTTGTGAGGACCACAAACTCTTTTCCATCTAGGCTACTTTCCAGCCAGTTTTGTCTTCAGCCTGGATGGGGGCACGGCTTTGTTATTCAGTGCAGTACTCTGTGCTTCCCCGTGTTGACTGTGTGAGACTTTTATTGGCTCAATTCTCTGCAGCCTATCGGGGTCCTTTTGGCTTGGCAGTACAGCCTTCTTGTGCATCAGCTGCTCCCTCCTTCCAGGTTTACACTGTCTGCAGACCTGCTGAGGAGAGTGGTTGCCTCACCATCCCCATCATCAATAAAAATGTGTAGTGTTGTCCCAGGGTATCAGCACCTGGGATTCTCTGGTAGTGGCTGTCCTACTGGACTCTGTGCTGCAAATCACAGCCCTTTGAGCATAATAGTAAAGTCTGTTCTTGATCCCTCTGCATTTGTTGAGGCTGTGTGAGTAGACCCAATATTTTTTATTTTCAGACTCTGCTTTCATAGTTCAAGAACAAATTTCTGATAGATTTTTCTGCTACTATATCTGATGTAGGATTTCATTTACAACAAGAAATAAAACCCCCATATCAAAACACTGTCTTCAGTGCATTCATATGAGGTCATGGACAAGCGATTGTGAAATTACTGTGTCACAGTTCAGAGTATAAATGCAGCTCCAAGTAATTGCATTAGCAACTGGCAGCTGGTCACCTGTGCTGATCAGTCTCAGTATCAGCTTAGACACTGTGGAATGTTCAAGCTGGTGACTTCCTGTGAAAAGATGCAACTTGTCTTTGTGTAAAAGGAAGTTGGTGGTTGAGATACTGAGCAACGCATAACTGCCTTAACAGTGAGAATGTTCAGGTTGTGTTTCTGTGCTGTTCTTTCCTATCTTGTGTGCTGAATGGCAATAGAGATGGGCCGCAGGGTAAGAACTTGCAAAGACAGCAACTCTTGTTACACAGATCTAATGAGAGACACCTAATGAGGATATTGCACCTGAAATGGTGCTCCATTGTTTGAAGTGGGTGTTTAATAAAAAAAAAAAAAGGCATGTGCCACAGGGGTTGTGTAAGATTACCTCTGCTTGTTAGAGCTAGTTGAATAACAGAGTTTGTTGTCCTCACACAGAACAGTGCTGTAAGTGGGTTAAATGTCTGGTCTGTGTTTCACAGTCTCATTATCAGACAAGAATCATATTTTGGGTTTCCTTTAGAAATTGCGCAGCAATGTTTTGTAGAGGCAGTGCTGGGTTTTGCTGTGTCTGCGGTGTCCTGCAGAAATGGCTCCTGTTTCAGGGAAAGAAAGGGAAGTCATTAGGAAAGCAGGCAGATTCCCTCCGCTGGGTTTACATCCTGTTCAGAACAGCAGTTCTGGATGTGACTGTGGGCCTCCTGAGATCTGGCAGGGTGTGCTTAAGTGTTCTGTGATGATTGTACAGCATTTCCTGATTACTTCTGCTGATGTAGCTTTATGTGCTGAGCTGAGGGCCGGAGAGCGAAGGCTGATGTGCTTGTAGGTGCAGCTTGTATGTGTCTGTGGTCAGCATCTCTGTGACCTTCTGAAAGGTTGGTAACTCTTTGTCTAAGGATATCTTCTTCCTGGAACAAAATTAAGCTCTAAGCCTTCTTTTTCTCAGCTCAGAATTCACTGTGTGGACTTGAGAGCAGAGAGACTTCAGTGCCTGTCTGTGAAGACCACTCACTTCCTCTTAGGTGTCAGGTCCAGATCCTGTTCTAAAAATGTCACTGGCTGTCTGCTGAATGCTTTTATTCTTAAGTTGTGAAGGTGATGTTAGTGTTTTGATTTGTCTTTTTTCCTTTTTTTGCCATTTGTTTGAGACTTTCTTTAAGGTGATGGTGGTGATAGGCTGTTTAGCTTCAAACTAGTTAAACCAGTGTCCAAGATAAGGGTGGCTAGCTTGGGGAGAGGAAGTCAGTACTGAAGCTTTGGTGCTTTTTTAGGGAGTTGCTGTCCAAGCCTGATTTTGGTGCTTGGAGCTGCATGCTGGCAGTTTGCTACTACTGTTTGAGAAGCTTAAGGATGTGGGCTGTTCATCTGCCTGAATTTGTGTTGCTGTTTCTGTTGAAAGCAACTTGCCCTAGTTTGGAGGACAACTCTGAAAGGGCTTTTTTTTTTTTTTTTTTTTTTTTCAGCTCCTGACTTTCTAAAGGAAACATTTTCAGTGAGCCTGGTGGCTTTTGTATGCATCTGGGGCTAAATGCTTTTTTTTTTTTTCTGTCATCATTTTCACTAGCAGGTGTGTTTTCTGCAGAACAAGACTATGTAGTTGCTGCTGCCGCTTCTCTCTAGTTTTCTATTTGGAAGAAAGACCTGTGTTTTTTGGAAAAGAAGAAAACCTAGCAAAAGCATATTGTTTAATGTTAAAGAAATATAAGCAATTTAATTGTGCACTTACAAAAATCTGCGTGGTTGGGGAAGGAAAAAAAAAAAAAAAAAAAAAAAAGAAAATTGAAATATTTTTGTAAGGAATTTTTACATTGCTGTGATGACCTGGTCAAAGGCTACTGGAGAACCTGTGAGAAAAAGAGGGGAAAAAGAAAAAGGCTAATTTGTAAACAGTATCATCTTTTTTTCCTTTTAAAGCAAAACAAAAAGTCAGCCCTATTTTCCTGATATTTTTTATTTCTAAAAATGCAGTAGGAGAGATTGTCACTGTGTGTCTACAAGATTAAATGTGTTGGCTCACGGAATGACAAAATACAGGGAAGAGCTGAGAATAAACATACTTATCTTACTGGTATTAAAGTCTGTATGTACAAATTATTTTCGAAAGCTTTTTTTGTTTTGGAATTACATTTAATTGTACTTTCTTATGAACCTTCTAGATTTTTTTTTTATAGATGGGTTCTGCACAGAAGTGATTATAAAATCTGTATGCATGCAGCCTCCATCTGAGTCATACTGCGTGCTTTTTCCCCACTTGCTATATTTGGTCTTTGTGTTCCTCTACAAATCCTCAAGTGTTTTCCTTATTTAATACACTTGAGCGGATGGGGATGGAAGATGCTGAGGTAAGAGCACAGGAGGTGCAGCCCCCCACAGACTGTGTGCAGCAAGTTGCCAACTTGTACCTGTAAAATAGATGCATGCAGAGTAAGACACTTAAAATAACAGGTATGGTACGTGTGTTGAGATCATCTGAGAGCAGAGCTTTCATTCCTGTGGGCCTCAGACATTTTTCAGAGATAACACATGTGCTTACCTTGTGTTTCCAGTAGATTGCTGTTACGAAGTTTTATGCAGACATCTTTGTTTCCACTTGCCCTTTGTTCCTCCCCTCCTCTTTACCTGACTGCCTTGTTTCTACTGCTGAAGTTGTTGCTGCCTGTGCTACTCCTCTTAGCTAATGCCTTCAGTTGGCATGGATTGCTGAGACCCTGAGTGGATCCAATAGTGCTGGACTTGGGTGAGCCTTGCTGTGGTACAGGTGACACCATGGCAGCAGCTGCCAATAGGAGGAAGAGGAAAGCTGCTCTGGCACTGAAGGAGGGGAGAAAAAATCCACCAGAAAAAAAAACAACCCAAACCCCACACTGCTGCCTGTGAAACCTGTGCAAGCTGACCAGTTCTTTGTGTAATTTCTTTGAAAAATATCCAAATAATTTGTCTGAAGGACGTAAGTACGAATCATAGGCATATGATGGTAGGCTGTGGGTATAATGTGCACATGTATCGCTGTGAAGTAATCTGAATGTTTTCAGTGATTCTGTTTCAAATACAAGGAACTCAGAGGCAAGATTTGCAAGAGAATTGCAGCGCTGTCATACCTATGGAAAGCTCTTCCTTTGAGATCAGTGCTTCTGCCCTCAGGCTGTTATTGCTAGTAAATTGTTTTGGTTAACTTGCTAGGTGATTCCAGGCAGAGTGGATGCACACAATACAATCACAGGGCAAAAGATAAACATTTGGTATGTGTGAAGTTGGCTTCCTTTCTGGAGCTACTGGAGAGAACCCAGTGTAGGGCTATAAAGACTAATGGGACTGGAGCACCTCTGAGGAGGGGCTGAGGGATCTTGGCCTGCACAGCCAAGTGGTGGAGGAGGGTGGAGGAGGCTCAGGGGGG